GTACTGGCTCTTTATTGGGCACTAGCACCACCACTTGGGCCAACATTGTCATTCGCTCCAAATTGTGAATAGCCAAATAAGCTGCTTGTATCAAGATGAGCTTGACCAGGAACTTGCATTAGTTTTTGCAGAACAAGATCTCGAAGCATTTCCATTTTGTGTTTCATGGATGGTAGCTCTGATAATGGAAGTTCAGAAATAGGAGGATTAACCTTTTCGGCCTCACGCAAAGCTTTATTTACTTTCATTTCTTCTTCAATCTGCATTTCCAGGTAATTAATTTGGGAAGACATGATTTGCATCAAGGCTTCACGGTGAGCACGCAAGTTTTGTTCGGCAGGAACTTGCTCGGCAGGGTTGGGTTGTGCTGTAGGATTAGCACCAAAATATTTGGTTAAGATCGCATCCATACCAGGGTTGCTGAAAGTATAAGCCTTGCCAGAAGGCGAAAAAATCACCAACAAAATCTCCACGCCACATAGTGTGGATATCTCATTGGCCTTCTTGATAAGACCATTGCGGCGTTTCGAGAAGGCAACACTACGACTAGTGTCACTTTCAATTCTAGATAGGGGAATCCTTTGCCTACCTCTACCCACCCTTCGATTGGCATTATTGCTAGACATTTTCAAGAAAAATATAATTCCCTCACAAAAGATGTAGAGACAAAGTATATTGATAGCATTGAATGTGTAGTGGTCTATTTATAGTTGGGTGTGGTTGTTATTCCTTAACGCTTTTCAATTATATATTTGAAATTTATTATGCAACTAAAATAAAAACAAATTAAATTGGAAGTTTACAATTGAATGATCGATATAGATATTCACAACTTTTTGGTATGTCGGATCTCGAATTTGGAATAATCAATGAAGATTTTTACAACTTGGTATGCTGAATCTTAAATTCGTAATATTATTATGGAATTATATAATGCCAGCTCATGTGTTGGTAGGTAAGATCTAGAATTTGTAATATAATAGAAATTTTGGCCGTTATATAAAATATATGTATTTAATATAAAAATATATTTATCTATTATTCACGATTGTATATTGTGTTGCTTCTTAATCGGTATAGGCATTGACCCAACTATTCAAAATATCAACTAATTTCATACACCACACACAAAAAAAGTTCCATTTTCACAACTTGGTATGCCAGATCTTAAATGCGTAATAATGTAATAGAAACTATAATGCCAGCTCATCTGTTGGTAGGCGAGATCTAGAATTAGTAATATAATAAAAATTTTGACGGCCATATAAAATATGTAATTAATATTAAAATGTATTAATTAATTATTCGGGGCTGTATGTTGTAACGACTTCTTAATCAATATAGGCATGGACACAACCGTTCAAAAATTACAACTAATGTTGTATACCACACAAAAAGAATGGTCAATTTTAACAAATTGGTCCGCCGAATCTTATATTCATAATTATATAACGAAAATATATAATGCCATCTCATGTGTTGGATCCTATGAGAACAAGTCTTTAGGTGAAAACTAAGAACCAATCTCAACTTTACGTTTGGGAAAAATGGATGTTCCAGATCCGACTTAAGAAAAAACATGTGGTGACATTTTCGTAATTATCACCAACTTTACTATGCAAACTTGAAAACAAAAATCTTTAATTTTTAGAATTTTCCAGATTTGCACATGTAGTACTAACATTTTGCATATTTAGTATTTAAATATTGCACTTGCAAAAATGCAAAAGTGCATTGTACTTGGGGTTGCTATTTTAGAGTTTATGACTGCATTTTTTGTTTTATTTGGTTTAGTGGTTCACTTTTTACTGCTTAGCATCTAGCATTTACAGTTTAGATTTAAAATTTAGCATTTTGTACAAATGATACACATTAAACCCTTTTATGTTGGCTAATTTAATTGACAAAATAATTAGAATTTATTTTGGAAATTAACCTATAGATCGTCTCCTATCACATGCATTCTACAGCAATTGCAATAATCAGGTGCAAATAATTAAGTGGAAGTCGAAAGTATGGATCTGATCTTTAGTCGAAGGATGCATGGCTTATTTATTGTGGTGGTAATTTATTCTAGTATGGCTTTGAGTTGGTAAAGGCGTATGGATAGCACATAATGGGGAATTCGTTGAGTGAATTTCAATATAAAAGGATGGGATGCTTACCTCTTTATTTCACACGAATTAGAATATTATTATTTTTTTAGAGAAAGTTTCCAGAATCACTACTTCAACAAATTACTTTATACTATTGTTAAGGAAGTGTTGATCATACTGGGTCAGTTCGACTGCATCAGGATCAGCAGCATCAACAATTGAGGTCTGTGTTACAAAATGGATCGTGCTAAGGTTTTTTATTCTGTTAATTTGTTCATTCGCAGGGTGATGCAGTATGGCGGTCCGTGGTGACAGGTTGGATTCATCCGACCAAAGCCAGTTCTAGTGCTGACGGAATGCAAGTAGCTAAACCTGAAACTGAGTGGTCCCAAACTGAAAAAACTGATACTGGATATAACGGTAAGGCTTTAGATACGATTTACTCCCTTATGCATAAAAATCTGCTTTCTATAGTTGCAGGTATTGATTTAGCTAACGGTGCGTGGGAGGCTCTTGAATCAACTTACGAAGTAACTACGTCAGTGAAACAATCAAAGCTGCAACTAGTCCAGTCCGACTTTGAAGAGATTCGGATGAATGAGGATGAGACCATCACGAACTTTCACACAAACATACAGGAACTAGCAAATCGAGCAATGGTCCTCGGTGAACCTTTCCCACACGCAAAACTTGTAAAAAAATTCTTAGGTCCTTACCACCGAGGTTCAAAATGAAAGTCACGGCTATTCAGGAACACGATGGCTGAGAGAACAAAACTGTTACTCAGTCAATGGGAAATCGTAGAACCCATGAAATGGAAATTTTAACTGATCACACAAAAAATAAAAAATAAAAAATGTAGCCTTTGTCCCTGAAGAAAATAATGTTGCATTTGATTTAGACGAACCAGGTGATGATACTGCTCGTGTTGTTGGTCGTTTAGAACCTGATGAAGGAGCTAACTCAGAGGGTGGTGAATATGTTTCAGCGGAAGATTTAGAATTAAATGTTTTATCTTTTGAAGTTGAGTTTAATAAGTTGTATCCCAAATGGGAAGCCCTACGAAAAGCAAATCTTAGATTAACTAGTGAGATAGGTATTATAACAAATGCTAGTAAAGTGTACCAAACTCAAATAGCAGATAGGGATGTACTTCTTAAAGAAGTGGCTGACCGAGATGGCATACTGAAATAGGAAGTACAGACCTTGAAGCAGGAGCTCTTACCTACAAACGACAAATCCAAATGATGGACACCACTTCAACACTTGACAAAATCCTTGATTCCGGAAGAAAAACTTCTGCAAAATTCGGTTTGGGCTTCACTGGAAGCAACTCAAAGGATAAAACGGTATTTGTCAAAGCGTCTGGACTTGATCCAGGAGACATTCCTGAATCCAGCTCAACGAAACATAACACAGTGGTATAGTATGGTCAAACAAGCAACAGTACAAACTCTGTGACCCCGTATGTCATTATTGCATGTTGCGTGGCCATACCAGACCCGAATGCTACTACTTCTACAAGTGTCAAAGAATCGAGAAATTCACGCACATGAACACCCAACCCTTTATAAAATAGATTTAGGTTAAAAAGACTGACTATATTTCGTTTGTCTATTTTCACTCTAAAAGTGCATGAAGAGAAGAGAAATGATACTTTGACAGCGGGTGTTCCCGTCACATGACAGGAAATGCCAAATTTATAAGTAACGTAAATGCAAGCAAAGGTGATGTTACCTTTGGTGATGGTATTAAAGGTCATGTCACTGGCATCGGCACGCTAAATGTCATTGGCCTGCCAAAACTAGAAAAAGTATTGCTAGTCAATGGACTTCACGCAAATCTCATAAGTATAAGTCAACTATGTGGCCAAAACTGGAACGTGTGCTTCAAAAAAAATAAATGCATTGTCTTGGACAAAACAAATCAATGCGTTATGGAAGGTAAAAGGTCAACTGACAATTGCTATATTCTAACTAAAATATCTTCTGTTGCAGGACCAGCATAGATGAAGCTGAGCTATGGCACCAAAAACTGGGGCATCTGAGTTACATACTACTTGATAAACTAATGAGGATGGAAGGTGTTCGTGGTTTACCCAAGATGAAAGTCGAATCAACCATTTGTGGTGCCTGCCAAGTTGGGAAACTGACCAAATCATTTCATCCAGCTCAACATACCATAATGACGAGTTACTGCCTAGAACTGATCCACATGGATCTTATTGGTCCTACTTAAACAGGGAGTTTTGGAGGTAAGAAGTACATACTGGTATGTGTTGATGATCTTTCACGTTTTTCATGGGTAATCTTTCTTAGGGAAAAATCCGAAGCACTTGAAGCTTTCAAAACACTGGGACTGAAACTCCAAAAGGAAAGAAATGAACCTATTATTCGAATTCGAAGTGATCACGGATGGAAATTCGACAACAACTTGTTCGATGCCTTTTCCAATCAATCAGGAATTACCCACGAGTATTCGGCACCAAAGACACCTCAACAAAACGGAGTCGTTGAATGAAAAACAGCATCATTCAAGAAAAGGGACGAGTCCTGCTCAACGCCAAAGGATTACCTCAAAAATTCTGGACAGAAGTTGTAAACACCACATGTCGCATCCCCAACCGAGTCTATCTTCGGTCAGGCACAAGTCAAACACCGTATGAATTATGGAAAGGTAAGAAACCGAATATTAATTACTTTCACATTTTTTACTCACGATGTTTTATTTTGAAGGATAGAAATCCTGTTGCAAAATTTAAACCAAAAAGCGACAAGGGGATCTTTCCCGGTTATTCAACGAACAGCAGTGCATATCGTGTCTACAACAAAGTGACCAAGACCATCATCGAGTCTACAAATTTTGTAATTGATGATCAACCGAATGATATTGTTGAAGTTTCACAACCTGAGTCAGTGATAGAACCTGATGCAAACCGTTCTGTAACTCCTGATCCTGAAACTCCTGAACCAGATCCAGAATCACCCACGCCATCTGAACCTGACCCAGAACCAGAATCAGAATCTGACACTGATCAAGACGACATTGACATTCCAACACGCATCCACAATAGATCATCTATCTTCAAAATTAATTTTGCCATCATTTTTGGTGATAGGTCTACAGGTTCATTACTCTCTAATTCTTTTTGTTGATTTCATGAATATTTTAGGGTGTCATTGTCTAATGTGTCTTGTGAAATACCTGCAAATTTTCCTATGTCTAAAGCTGAGTTTTTATGTGTTCCTCTACCTAATTTGGTGCCCTCTACTTCAATATCCTTGCATTCATCAAATCTTGACAATTCTTCATCTTTGCCAGTGTAATATTCTGCATCTGTGATAGAATCTGTTTCAGGATCATAGAATTTATCTTTTGAATTAATGGTTCTGTTCCTACATGCTCTCACATTGCATCTATGTGTTTTTTTTGTGCGTGTGTCTCTCTATGATTGATTTGTCCTCTATTCCAATTTTTTTTAATTTTCTCGCAATTAGTCCTTTTCGTTACCTACTACTCTAAATTGCGTATTCATTCTTTGTGTTTTGTTTTTGACTGTTTCTATGTGTTCACTAAATGTTCTATCTATGTTGTTTTGGATGCTTTTGATATGATAATCCTTTGATTATGCCTTTTTGTTGGTGTTTCTTGTGCTAAAAATTTGAATTCTATAAGGTTGCTTGAATGGTAAATTTGCTGCAAGTTGATATTCGTGGCTATGTGTTTATGTGAATGTACCTATTGATTTACCTGCATTCTCCATAAAAGTGTTATCTGTAATCTTGCTCTATGTTATGTGTTTAGTCCGGTCATGACCGTATGTGTGTTTTCCCATGCTATCTGGTATGAATATGTGCCTAAATTAGATTTATATGAATATGTGCCTAAATTAGATTTATATGAATATGTGCCTAAATTAGATTTATATGAATATGTGCCTAATGTTGCTTTAGTTGAATCTCTGGCTGAATATGCTTTGCCTAAATGTGCTTACTGTCTTATTTACCAATTTGTCTCTTTGAGTGACCCAATTGTGTGCTTTTTGTGTTATTTGCTACGAATTTGTGCTTGAATGCGTTTTTTACTTGGTATGTTACGTTTTATCTACTTAATCTGCTCCAACTTGACTTGTGCTTATACGTTATTTGTTAAAATTGTTATCAAGTTCTGCGTTTCTCGTTTCTAATTCTCTTGTACAGGATCAGTCCAATCGGGCACTCTGGCAAACTCAATCCACTATTGATATTCACCTTTGTCAATTTATTGGAAAAAAGGGGGAGTGAGTATAATAAGGGGGAATATGGTTGGATTAAGGGGGAGTATATGGTTTTTTGATTAAGGGGGAGTATATGGTTTTTTTATTGATCTATTTTTTGTTATGGATTACGGATTCTGTGTTGGCATATTGGCTTTGGTAGCATTATGGGTTGAAGTATGCCTTGTGTTGGATGATAAGCTTTTATTTAACTTAACTGTCTATTTCTATTGGTATTCTGGGCTTCTACTTATTATCTCTCTATTTGGTACTCTATTGGAATTATTAGTTTGCTTGTTGAGCCTGAAGCATTATGGATGGAGCATGGTTCAAAGTGTCTTGGTAATTGTCAATAAATTCTAACACATAGGTTTTATGTCAAGCAAATATACTAAGGGCAAGTTATTAATGAAATTTTTTAAAATATTAATTTATTGTTTGTCCAAAGTATATATGCGATAGTTTTTGCCAATTAATTTGCCAAAGGGGAGATTGTAAGTGTACAAATGATAAACATTAAACCCTCTTATGTTGGCTAATTTAATTGACAAATTAAGAGAAAATTGTAAAAAATGTCCCTCTATAATACGTCAATTATCAATGTCACTCATGAATTATGAGTGGTGTAAATGTTGCCCCTCAATTATCAAAATGGTGCACATATAGCCCCTCCCGTAACGGACCTGTGGTTCCCCACCGTTATCCATCGCTGGTACTTTGAATCGAGGGAGGGAAAAAACAACTAAATTACATATTTACTCCGACTTAACGATGTCGTCACTACAAGAAAAATCGCGAATCGCGACGGAATTTTTCCGTCGCGAATGGGCAATATTCCGTCGCGAAACGCGATTCGCGACGGAATTTATTCCGTCGTCTATCGCCTTGTCGTTTTTTGGTAGACAACGGAATAATTCCGTCGCAACGTTTGGCGACGGAATATTTCCGTCGCCATTTGGCGACGGAATTATTCCGTTGCGAATTCCATCGCCAATTTCGCAACGGAAATGTTTTCCGTCGTAATTCCGTCGCTTCATTGGCAACAAATATTCCGTCGCAAATTTTATATTCCGTCGCGATTCCGTCGCGTTTTTGAATTATTTTAAAATTTGATTGTAAATAGTAATGAATGTTTTTAAAATAAAAAATAACATAATTCTAAATTAAGTTATAATACTAATACATTACCAATCCACACTTAATACATAATATAATAGTCAATTCAAGTCTAAACAACATAATAATACATTATCAATCCACACTTAATACATAATAGTCAATTCAAGTCTAAACAACATAATAATACATTATCAATCCACACTTAATACATAATATAATAGTCAATTCAAGTCTAAACAACATTAACAAACAACCATTAAAATCAATTGATTGCAGATGGAGGTGATGATGAAGTACCCGCTCTCCCGCCATCAATAGCATCAAGTCGTTGTTGCATAAGGAGAATAATTTCCTTCAAACTCTGAATTTCATGTTATACATTTGCAGAAGTAGAAGTAGCATTGTCGGGTGGTCGCGATGTTGGTGTCATATTGCCAGAAGTGTTATCATTAGTTGGACCATGAACAACAGAACAACCATATGAACCAAGTCCATAAACTCTTCTTTTCTTATCGTGTCCACCAACCGCGTCATAGTATAATTGATTGTCATCCACCTGCTCCCCATTTTCTGCCAACATCTCCCGTTGCGATTCAACTTGTTCCTAAAATATGTTAGAGATTTAGTGCAAAATATATGTAAAGGCATAGATATTTTAAAAACTTAAAACAAATTAAACTTACATGAATTTGTTTGGCTTTTTCAGCTATGAATGTTTTCCCATCGTGTTGTTTGGTATGTGTATGCCTGAACAGTTCATAATACGATGGACAATGACCCAATTTTCCTTCCTACAAATTATATTTAACAAACAAAAGCAATTATTAAAGTAAGAAAAAATTCGGCAGAGTTTCCTTTGTATATAAGACTATCTCCCTGTTCAATATATAATACAATTCAATTATAATCTCCAACATCAATCAATAAACACAATAAAACACAATCACAATCAACAAAAAACATAAAAGTTGGAGTCAAGTAAACTCTAGTTATTCATTTTACCTAGAATCCTCATTAAAAGATTTAAGCTAGTGCTTCCCAAATTAACTCTGCAGTTTCTACTCCTAAGTTCAATCAATCCTCATTATCAAATCATTCAAGTTCAAATAAATCTCAGGTTTCCATATCTTATTTTCATATAATACAAAACACATAATACTTATAACTTAAACAATTCAAATAACTTACAAGTTGAGCTGCAACTTTTACGTGAGGTGTTGATCCTGTGGTATGGGTAGATTGAGCAACTCCAATTAAAACTCCTCCACGCTTATTTCTCTTAGCCAATTCTGTTTTCTTCTTGCCCTCCTCAGAATTCCAAACATCATTCCATTTTGTCCATATTTCTGGTGGGACATAAGGAGGTCTTGGCATTTTCCTTATTCTGCTTATGTAATCAGCATATCTTCTTTTAGCCTTTATCTCCCAAGCATTATACACTACACCGTGATACACTTAGATTTGGCTCTAGGAGAAGTTGGAGTGTACAGTAATTTCCAATAAACCAAAGGCCAGAAATTAAAATTGAAGTCTCCAGAAAATGAGTAATAAAAAGATTACCGGTCAGAAATGGAGGAGGAGGCGACGTCTATGGAGTTTTGGTGATGACCACGGCGGCACGGCGACGGCGCACGGTGATGACGGCTATGGAGTTTTACGATGGTGTTCGCGAGCTAGGGAGTGTTCTGGAGTTCACGGTGATGTCTTTGAGAATTTTAGGACTTAGGGTTCACGAGGGAGTTCTGATGTTTTATAATTTTAATTTAATTCATATTTCGTAGTCAAAACACAGCGTTTAAGTATATAAAAAAAAATAAAATTTAATTAAATTATTGCGACGGAATATAGGTGGTCGCAATTTCCGTCGCCATATTTAGTCCATAATCTATAGTTTAATTCATTTAAAGGACGGAATGAAATCGGTCGCCAATTCCGTCGCCATTTAACGACGGAACACAAATCGGTCGCCTTTTCGATCGCAAAATGGACGACGTAAATTACTTCCGTCGCCAATTCGGTCGTGAATATTTGCCGCCAAAATTTCGCGGACTTTATTTTATGTTTGCGCCAAGATACACGACGGAAATTAATTCCGTCGCCATTTCGCAACGGAATCTATTCGATCGCAAATTTGGTCGCTAAATGGCGACGGAATATAGTCCGTCTCGAGCTTCCGTCGCGATTCGCGATTTTTCTTGTAGTGCGTACACTAACGGGGAACCACATGTCCGTTACGGGAGGGGCTATATATGCACTGTTTTAATAATTGAGGGGCAACATTTACACCACTCATAATTCAGGGGTGACATTGATAATTGTCATATTATTGAGGGGCATTTTTTACAATTTTCCTACAAATTAATTAGAATTTATTTTGGAAATTAACCTATGGATCGTCTCCTATCCCATGCATTCTACAGCAATAGCAATAATCAGGCGCAAATAATTAAGTGGAAGTCGAAAGTATGGATCTGACCTTTAGTCAAAGGATGGCTTATTTATTGTTGTGGTAATTTATTCTAGTATGGCTTTGAGTTGGTAAAGGCGTATGGATAGCACATATTGGGGAATTGGTTGAGTGAATTTCAATATAAAAGGATGGGATGCTTACCTCTTTGTTTCACACGATTTAGAATATTATTATTTTTGAGAGAAAGTTTCCAGAATCAGGGACGGAGCCAAAGGGGGGCAGGGGGGTCAGCTGCCCCCCTCACCGTACCCCCACTCCATATATAATTTTTGTATGTATATATGTATATATAGTATAGATTTTAGTATTAGTATAAAAAAAAAAAAAAACTAATAAATGTTAACAAGTAAGGAGTTAGATTAGTTGGTAAGGTATGTCTTTGTGAATATAAAAGGTCTTGGTTTCAAATCCTTGCATTAACATAGTTTTACATATTTTTGAGTTCTTCTCCTATGGCTTCAACACAATCACTTTTTTAATATTTAATATGTGTAATTTATAATGTGTTTTCTATTCAAATTATTTTATCAAATTAATTATGTTTCATATTTTGTTATGAATATTTTTATAAAATTTCGATGTGTTTTATTTTTCGCACATATCCAACAATATTGACAACTATATTTCTTAAGTAATGGTTATAAAAAAAAAAATTCTTACATAATTTATTTATTTTTTAAAAATTATCTCTTTTGTTTTAATATTTCGCTTTTACTGGAAAAAATTTCTAAATCCGTTCTACTTCTTTGCCTCCCCCCCCCCCCCCCCCCCCCCCCTCAATATAATTTCTGGCTCTGTCCCTGTCCAGAATCGCTACTTCAACAAATTACTTTATACTATTGCTAAGGAAGTGTTGATCGTACTGGGTCAGTTCGACTGCATCAGGATCAGTAGCATCAACAATTGATGTCAATGAAGGCATGCACGTACCAATCCTGTTCTTGATGTTAGGAAGGTTCTAGTGGTAGTAGTGGTTGATTGCCTTATGTACTCACCCCATGTAAAACACCTTGGTGAACATCTAGTGGATTGGGCAGACGTGAGTTGCCCCGCAGACGTAGGAGAAGTACATATTGTATTCAAGATTCACGGTGCGATTTCACATTGATTTTATAAAATTTACCAGGTTTTCGTATTTAGTTGTTAAATGTTGCATATTTAAGTGTTCAAGTTTGCATAGTAAAGTTGATCGATAATAATTATGAAAATGTCACTGCGTTTTTTGTCTTCAGTCCAAAATAATATAAAGGCACAAGTGTCAAATAGGCTCATCTACTATTGCGAAGTGCTCAATTTCCACCACGAACAAAATTAAGTGTCAAATAGACCCATTTACCAGTTAATTTGTTCAATTAGCTTTTTTTTTTTACATGTTACATATTTATTAATTATTAAAAAATAAATAAATAAATAAAATAATTAAAAAAAAATTTAAAAAAAAAAAAATAATAATAATAATAATAATAATAATCGCCGGACAGCCGGTGGCTGCCCATTCACAGACAGCCGTGGCTGTCCGGCGAGGACAGCCGGACAACCACAGCTGTCAAAGTGAGGTCCAGATCTGGACCTCATGTTTGAGGTCCAGATCTGGACCTTAAACGGCCTGGAACGAGGGCCGCGGCCATGGCCGCCACCCTCGTTCCAAGTCCAGAATTACACCTATGATAGCGAAGGTACCTAGATATCTGGCAAATTATTCTGTGGACCTGTGTCCACGTTGCTATGTGGACCTGGTCCAAAAATACAATTTACATACTGAATGTTCATAATTTAAATACTGAATGTTCGCAATTTTGTAAAAAAAGGTAAATTGTTAACATTTAGTATGTAAATTTGTGAACATAAGTATGTAAGTTGTGAACATTCAATATATAAATTGTGACATTTAGTATGTAAATGGTTTATTTTTTTACTCGAGTCTACCTTGTGGCAAATTATGATGTGTAACTGTGTGCACCATCTGTTCTATGTTCATAATTACTGAACTATATGTTCATAATTATAAAGCTATATATTCATAACTTTGGTACTTCATATTCATAATTATTGAACTATATATTTACAATTACCTATACAGAACCCTATGTTCATAATTTTCGATGTTCATATTATTAATTGTTGAACTCTGTATTCACAAATCACAGAACTAAATAGGTTTATAATTTGATAACTATACATTTTAGAAATTATGAATTTACAGTACAGAAATTATGAATCTACAGTATAGATATTATGAATCTACTATATAGAAATTATGAATTTACTGTATTTAAATTATGAATCTACGGTTTAGAAATTATGAATCTACAGTATAGATTTTATGAATCTGCAGTATAGAAATTATGAATCTATAGTATAGAAATTATGAATCTATAGTATAAAAATTATGAATTGGAACCGTGTGCACCTTGCATAGTGCACACGGTTGCACAGCATAACGTTTCATGTGACCTTGGAAGTTGAAACTCTAACCTTTTGTCATTTAGTCTAGAGGAGTAAATTATATTGTGGGTCGTGGATAAATGTTCATTTTTAGTATATTAAACGTTAATTTTTAATATACTAAAAGTTCATTTTTAAGCTGTATACTAAATAATATAATTAACCTTCAATATACATGATAGGGATTATACCCTACTCGAGTATTTAACTATGTGCTCTGGTATCGTATAAACAGTTACTGGCGTCATTTCTCGAGAGGAACCGACCTGTTTTATGTTTTTCCCAACCAGATTGTGGTCGGGAAAGAGGTTTTCTGGCTCCGCATAATATGATTTCTAATCGGGATAGTTTTCCCGATCATATGTGGTCGGGAAGTACTTACCCGAGCATGGGACCTAATTGTTAGATAGAAGCATAACCCGAACAGATTGCATAGTCATATCAATTAACTTCATGCAATCTGTCAGAATTCTCAAGGCACGTGGGATCAGTGGAATTGCCGCCATCCCGACCAGTGCATGGATAACACGTGTGCATCATGTTGTAGGTTTGGCGTGTGTTTCCTTCAAACTCCTATATAAGCTACATTAAGGGTCCGTTTAGATATACAGAAAATGACTTCTAATATTCATTTTCCGAAATTTCTAATGTTTGGGTATTCACAGAAAATGAAGTCAAAGAAAATTAAAATATTTATTCTGGTCAACACACCCAATTTGGTTGAAAATGTCTTCCTAGTCTTTTAGTTAGAAGACATTTTCCGAATTCTTTATTTTTCATCTCTCCTCTCTCTTCTTTTTTAAGTTAGTTTTCGGGTGGTGGTGGTGGTGGGACCTTCAACACAACCACCACCACCACCACCGCACAACCACCACCACTATCACACGAAGACGACGACGATGACCACCACCACCACCAATACCACCACCACCAACACTAACACCACTACCACACCACCAATACCACCAACACCAACACCAACACCAGGCCACCACCGCCGCCGCCACCCCCACTACCACACCACCAATACCACCACCGCCACCACTACTACACCACCAGGCCACCATCACTACCACCAACACCACCATACCACCACCATCATCACATATTATTATTATTATTATTATTATTATTATTATTATTATTATTATTATTATTATTATTATTATTATAACAAATAATATGTTCAGAAAAATGAACCAAACACGAAAAATGCAATTTATTAACTTTTAGCCAAACAAAAAAAAAAAAAAAAAAAAAAAAAGATAATTTTCTAACATTTAGTCAAACACTAGGAAATTAAAATATTTTCTAGAAAATACGTCATTTTTTGGAAAATATTTTTCAGGTTTACAAACGGACCCTAAATTCGTGTGTGGACTTTTGGACAATTGATAATTACTTAACTAAGATCGTGAGTGTCTGACTTTACATATAGCTACCCAATACTAAGGAGTATTAACCGAGTACAATACATGCGTATTAGTTACATCAATACAAAAAATAAACCTTCAAAAAATGAACATTTAATATATTAAAAATAAACTTTTAGTATACAAAAAATGAGGTAACCTTATGTCAGCGTGATTTACCTAACAAGATGAACCATGACCATGGCATAATGATTGGTCTAGGAAGTCTAGAGACATATTTGTCACAATGCTTGAATGCCCCTTATGCCCGGTGTTCTACTCAATTAACTCAATTGTTTCCGTTGTTTAATATAACTATTATTTAAGTTTTAGATGTTGTATATAATTGTATTGTTTACATCCCAGTGG